TGCAGATGACCGAGCAAGCTTCCGCATTGCAAGAGACGACCTCGGCAGTGCGATTTCTCAGATTCTTCGGATCCTGATTGGACTTCATCCATTGCTACTTGAAAACTTTATGGTTACTAGTAGCGATGGCCTCCAACCTAATAGCCATGGCCTCCAACCTGAGAGAGATGGCCTCCACCCTAGTAGCGCTTTCTCAAATCCTTTCGGATACGGATATGGATCTCTTCGTCACTCCTTCGCAAAGAGGTCAAAACCAAGCTATGCTGACATATGGTGACACCGGTGAACGGACCCTGGCAAAACCGTTGAGCTCTCCCCAGGTTGCTGCAGCCAGCGACCGGGCCATCCTCGCGGTGGCCTCTGAGGTGGGCCGGAACGGGCTAGCTGTAGCTAGCTGGAGTCTGTCTTGCTTTAGCAAGGAGGGTGGGAGCTGAGGACCTGAGTGCTATTACCTGATATATCAGGACTAGACCCCCCCCCCTCGCGGGGTTCAACTCCACCCTTCTCCTCTCCTCCTCGGTACCTGCTGCTGCTGCTGCTGCTTGGTCGCTGCTGCTGCTGGCATCTCATCTGCGCCTGGCTCTTGGCTGCTTGCTGGTTGCTGCTGCTTGCTGCTTGCATGCTTGGTGCTGCTGGATGCTCTTGGCTGCTTGCTGGTTGCTGCTGCTTGCTGCTTGCATGGCTGCCTGCTGCTTGTTGTCTGCTCCGTTTTGCTGCTGTTGCTGTTTGGGGTTGTTGGCTGCTGTTGGTGCTGAAGAAAGCCAATTCGTTAGAATCGAGAGTAGTTGCATTCCCTCTGAGTCGTGAAACGATGCTAATTTCATTATATCCTTAAGAAGCTTGTACAGGCATGTACCCACCCCACAACCCAAGAGTACAAATCAGAATGCACTATCCGCTATCCATGCAGATCAAAAGATGATACTTACTTCACACATGAATGACAGAACCCAGTAATATGTTTGAACGGGCTGTTTGCTTCACTCATGGTAGTCCGCGTTCCATGTTCGAGCAACAGGGAAAGCGTTGCGACGGAGTCTTCGGTCGCTGACACATGTTCGCATACAACCCCTAGATGTCAATCATGCACACCGCTGCTGGCTGCATCGTCAGCATTTATTCGTGAAAAAAACAGATATATCAGATATATCTGTCTTTCCACGTCGCCCTTCTATAATTACTCAGGCAGCACCTATATGTGCTATTGTTCGAGACCAAATGTTGGGGCGCGAAAGACCCTAAGGAAAGCTCACTCTTTCCCTGCTGCTGCTGCTGCTGCTACTGCTTGGTAGCTGGTGGTGCTGCTTGGTAGCTGCTGCTGCTGCTGCTTAGTAGCTGCTGCTGCTGCTGCTGCTTGGTAGCTGCTGTTGATGCTGCTGCTGCTTGGTAGCTGGTGTTGATGCTGCTGCTGCTACTTGGTAGCTCCTGCTGCTGCTGCTGCTGCTGCTGCTGCTTGGTAGCTGCTGTTGATGCTGCTGCTGCTTGGTAGCTGCTGCTGCTGCTTGGCTGCTGCTGCTTGGCTGCTGCTGCTTGGCTGCTGCTGCTGCTGCTGCTTGGCTGCTGCTGCTTGGCTGCTGCTGCTGCTGCTGCTGCTGCTGCTGCTTGGTAGCTGCTGCGGATGCTGCTGCTGCTGCTGCTGCTGCTGCTTGGTAGCTGCTCCTGCTGCTGCTGCAGCTGCTGCTGCTGCTGCTTGGTAGCTGGTGCTGCTGCTTGCTAGCTACTCCTGCTGCTGCTTGGTAGCTGGTGCTGCTGCTTGCTAGCTACTCCTGCTGCTGCTTCTGCTGCTGCTTTGAAGCTTCTGCTTGCTGCCGCTGCCGCTGCTGGTTACAGTTATTGTTGTTGTGGCTGTTGCTGCTGCGGCAGTTGCTGGGGTGGTTGTGTGTTGCCATGTGTTGGCTGTGTTGGGGTCATATTGGGGGGGCGCTGTTGGCACTCTCCTTTTCCCTTGGCCATGGCATGTTGCGATTCCCGGCCAGGCTTTTGCTGCCTAAAGAGCCCCAGCGTTGTTTATTTGCCTAGCTTTCGCCACCCCCCTCTGGGCCACAAGTGACAATTGCATTCCTTGCAAAAGTGCCAACGCTTCTATAGCCATGGCCAGCGTGCAAGAGATTTTCCGCATCATCCATGAGCTTGCAGATGCCCTGCAAAAACAGCTCATTCCAGGTGACTGCGTCGGCTTGATCCATCAGACAAAACAAGATCTAGGTCCACTCCCATCGAACGTTTTGTTGCGCCTTTTATTGGTGAAACTGTCCCTCATTCATGAGGTTCTTCCTTCAACACTTTGCTCCGCTATTCGAGTGAGGTGAGAATGATGAGCGTGCGGCCAATGGCGAAGCTGCAAGTGTTGGGTTCAGGGGCTACGAGAGTTGGCGAGAGATATCTTGCAACGAGTGCGAAGTGAAGCTTGATCCTGCTTGAGAAGTAATAAGAGGGACACGACGTAGTTGTCATTTGTCAGGAGGTTTGGTCCTGTAGTCCTGGACCGAAGTAGGGTCCTGGCGTTGATGCCGGGCCACTGCATGTTAGGCGCATGGTTGTTATGCCACCAGAGCTCGAGAGTGACGAGAGGTATCCAAGTCAGATTCTGCCAATTCATGCTGCAATCGAATAGCTGCAGTGCACAGCAGGTGCAGGTGTTTTTTCCTATGAGATTTCTGCAACTTAGGAAGACTATGGCCAAGGCGATGGTCAGCCTGGACAAACGGAGGGTGAAATCCGGAAGACTCCTGTAGATGAGGAGGTCTGGGAGAATCTGTGCGACTTCATCGATGAAGATCATCCAGGTGGACCTGTGGAGCGGACCTGTGGAGCAGTTGGGTGAGGCTCGCTTGGTTCGGGAACTGTCCAAGGAGATCTTGCAGAAGTTGGGCGAAGAAGCTCGGCTTTCGCTTGATCCCATCGTTCCTCCCGCGCACCTTGGCCAGGAGACTGAGAAGAGTGGAGGGGGTTGGCCTTTTTTTCCATGAGATGTCATGATGATGATTCACGTCAACAGGGCGACCTGCATGCTTCGCCGCCAGGGCGACTTGCAAACCAGTACTTGCTTCGCCACCAGGAGGGCGACTTGTAAAACAGTGCTCTCAGCAGATGCTTCTATTTTTTATGGTTGACAAGGTGTGTAGGTAGCAAGGTTTCAGGGTGTCAAGTGGGAATAGGACATTGCTTCAATAGAGCGTTCATGCCAGTGAGCCTTTGAAAAGCTTGACATTCAGTACGTGCGTGCCTCACCAGAAGACGGTGCGGCGGGCCAGGTCTAGCTTTACGTTTGGAAAAAGTTGTTTGCGCATCTTTGAGGGAGATCAAGAGTCTTCTATGCGCGAGGGCTCCTGGGTTCCTTGTGTTGTTACATTGGCCCAGCCCAGTGATTTTCATGGTCGATTTGACCTTCGGTAGCTTTCTGTGTCACTCTTCAGCATCTTTATGTGATCATCCCGTAGTTATTTGTGCCAGTTTTTCTCAAGCCACTCAGAACGCCTTTTCAGCTCAGGGGTGTCGGTGTTGCCATGGCGCTCAAATCCGGTGTGTTCGCTTGCCTCACCCTTGCATTGTGCGTGAGCTGCAACGTCATGGCACAGAACGCCCCCCAGTCCGAGGACCGCGGTTTCATCATCCCCCGGTCCGAGCACCTTGGCAAGGAGACTGAGAAGAGTGGAACGCCCCGCTCCGAGGACCGCGGTTTCATCATCCCCCGGTCCGAGCACCTTGGCAAGGAGACTGAGAAGAGTGGAGGGGGTTGGCATTTTTTTCCATGAGATGTCATGATGATGATTCACGTCAACAGGGCGACCTGCATGCTTCGCCACCAGGGCGACTTGCAAACCAGTACTTGCTTCGCCACCAGGGCGACTTGCAAACCAGTACTTGCTTCGCCACCAGGAGGGCGACTTGTAAAACAGTGCTCTCAGCAGATGCTTCTATTTTTTATGATTGACAAGGTGTGTAGGTAGCAAGGTTTCAGGGTGTCAAGTAGGTTGGAGGCCATTGCTCAATAACAGAAAGACGTGGGTCCGTCACGGTCTCCAATGTTTTTCAGATAGTTAAAGTCATTTCAAGTCATGAGAGACATAGCTTGCAGGCCGATCGGCAGGTGGCAACCATTGAGGACGGATCGCCCTTTTTAAATGGTGTGGCAGCTCTGCAGAACCATCAACCAAGTTTCCAGAGAACAAAGCTAAGAGAGGTTGATTAAGGCAATTTTTCAACGTATATTTTTCTTCCTTGCGCTTTCAGGAGAAGCTGCGGAGCTCGCAGGCAATTTCCGCTGGAGAACGATGACTCCGGATACGTTCCATAGGTGCAGTAAGAGGTCAAGAGGTGACATCCAAAAGGATCCACGGAAGAATCAAACGAACAGGAAGAAAAGCATCGATGGCCTCCAACCTAAGAGCGATGGCCTCCAACCCAAACTAACACAGCAACGAACATCGCTCTTAGGTTGGAGCCATTGCTCTTGGGTTGGCACTAATAAAATGAATATGAAAAAACATCAACAAAACGGCAGGACCTCCTAGTAGCTTCTTGCTCCTAGTAGCGCTCCTAGTAGCGATGCCAGGAGCTCCTAGTAGCGTTCTTGCTCCTAGTGCCAGGAGCCCCTAGTAGCGTCCGTGCTCCAAAACGCTTTTCTTTAGCAACTCTTTGGCTCTGAAAGTGTTTTCCACATTTTGCTGAGAAAGATCAGCAGTGGTCGGCAACTTAGCGCCTCCAGTCGGTGAGTTGCAAAGAGAGGGAGAATCGTGATACGAGATGAGACGAGATGAGTGTGTCTTAGAACGAAGTCTTTTGAAACATGTTTCTGAGTTCTGAGTGTCTCAGGATTGGGGATTGGGTCACTTAAATACTGCACAGAGTTTCAGGAAACTTGCTGCTTATAGCTCCGCCATCTTGCTCGGCATCCCTTTGATCACCTGAAAGACACACGACCTAACACCATATGTTTTTCCACTTCTCTCAAAATCCGTTTCTTCACTCGTCTTCCCATTTTGAGGCCGCTTCCCAGCATGCTGGCCTGTGTGGCCTTGCTGAGTGCGGTAGCGGTTCTTGCGTCAGAGTCCGACCAAGCGGCTTTTGAGGCGAACGTCCGACGCGAAGCTCGATGTACTTCGAGTAGGGGCAAGGGCGCTACTAGGGGCTCCTAGCGATACTACTAGGAACAAGAAGCTACGCGCGGTGGAGGCCATCCCTATTGGGTTGGAGGCCATCGCTACTGGTAGCAAGAAGCTACGAACGTAGCTATCTGCCTATTTCACATCGTCCTTTGACTCGTCACCTGATTCTGTCTCGTCTCTCCATGGACAAAGCAACACGGGACAAGACGAGAATTCAACCAACATGGGTGCCGCAAGAGGTACCAACGAGGCTCTCGATCGTGGCAGTGTGCCTGATGACAGACTGCCTCCGCCGGCCATCGCTGACAGGCCTTTGTTGAGAAATATGGACGTGGCAACCAAGCAGCACTGAGACCACTGTGGTGCCAGATGTCATGAACATTTTTGGCCGCCCAGCTACCGGAATCCAAGACGGAACCTTGGAGACTTCTAGGTGTTTCCATTGAGAACATGTGTGGGAGTGCCGGCAGGCATGTGGCATTAGCTTTTGCCATGGGTGTCTCATCAAGGTATTCTATGTTTTGTTTAGAAGGCACTTGGCGAATACTTAAGAGATGGATGGCTTGACCAAATGCGCTTTCCAGGTTATGTGCGCGGCAGTGCTTCATACCTGGAACGCTTCAAGTTGTTCCAAAGCCGAGCTGACGAGGCGAAGCGGCGCCGCGTATTCGACTCCGAACATGCTAAACACTTGCTGTTCGACGCGCCGAACAGTTTGATGTTTGCACTTTTTTTGCTGCTAGGCTGGAGGCTACTAGGGGCAAGGACGCTACTAGGGGCTCCTGGCCATACTACTAGGAACAAGGGACGCTACTAGGAACAAGTGCATCGCTTCTAGTAACAAGTGCCTTACTAGTAGTAACAAGGACGCTACGAACGGAACAAGGGATGCTACGAACGGAGCAATTCGGCCATCGCTTCTGTTTGTTGCGACTTTCAGACCTCGAGGTGCGGCGCTTGAATGCGGATCCCACCAGGCGCTGGACGGCAGGAGTTGGGCCTTTGGCAGATGCTTGGCGACCAAAAGCACCACGAATGCAGTCTGAATGCCTTTCGCGTGTCACAAGGTCTGACAGGTGAGAGTTCGTGAAAACACAATGCATTGCTTCATTTTGGAACTGAAAGACTGACCTTCAACAGGTTTCCACAACTTTGAGTATAGAGTAGTATAGTCTTGGACTTTTTCAAAAAGTAGCTCTCTTGAGACACGTCGTCTCTGTGGAAGCTTAGCTGGTTGGTGGAGTCACTGACTGGCAAGGACTTTCATGCAAAAGGCATGGACCGATTTCTCTTAAAGAGAAAAGGCACCAGCTGGCGGCAGTGCATGATTCCATGATGTAACAGTTTCTTCATGGTTTTCTCTCAAAACCACCATTCGTAAAATATAATCTTCTATATTCTTTTATAACCTTTTAAAAGAACATATTTGCTTATATGTTCTTTTATGTTCTTTTATAGTCTTTTATAACCTTTTATATTGCCAACAGGGTTGCAGTAATGCAGATTGCCCTACCTCCTAAGAAGCCTATGATTTTGGTGCTCAAGGTTGGAGGCCATTGCTTCTAGGTTGGGGAGCAGAGCGGCCTTAAAAACAAGTCAGCTCACCACGGTCCAAACGCTTGCTTCAATAGCTAGTAGGTTGGAGGTCGTCGCTATTAGGTTGGAGGCCATTGATTGCTATTAGCTTCAATAGCTTGTAGAAGGACGGCGGAGCTACGGCAGCTTTTCCATGCTTTCCCGAGGACTACACTGAAGAGGAGCTGGCGCAACTCCGTGGCTGGCGCGGCATGGCAGCCGCGAGTGATGCCGGGACTGCGTTGCTTCAGGCTGCTACCGTAGTTCCTCCATCTTTCTACAAGCTATTGAAGTGAATAGCAATGGCCTCCAACCTAATAGCGAAGGCCTCCAACCTACTAGCTATTGAGAAACCGGATCATGGGAAGTGCGCTTCATGGTCAGTAGGCCTTCCAGTGGCGAATCGGGAAACTCTTTTGTTTTCTTCTTCAGATCGAGGTGATGTTGATTGATGTGAGGATCTTTCTTCCGTGCGGTTCAATCTGTCTTGACAGCATGGAACTTCTTCACAGCCTCTGCCAGGTCAATAGCTTGCCTGAGGAATTCTGAACTGGACAAGCTTAGAGTCCTTGCAGCATGTCTTCGATCAGGCCAGGTGAGCAGTCCTTTTTAGCCGGTCTATTCTGTTTGAAGATTCGATCGAAGTTTACTCAACAAGCTTGTGCAAACGCTTGGACACCGAGAGCTATTCAGTTTTCGTTTTGGACCTTTTGACCAATTTTGATCCTTCTCCTTTCCTTCCTTCCCTCTGATGTCCTCAGTTTGTGCGAACTTCAACTTGTTGATGTTGCCTTATTGGACCTGGTTAGGGTTTCCCGGTCTCCTTGCTATCCGTGCTCCCATTCCCTAGTTCAAGCTGCGCTGTGCTCTGAGTGTTTGAGCTGTACTGGCAGTTGCCTCTACTTGTGAACTCTTCTTGTTTATTTTGCCCTGCCCACCTGGCTAGGGCTCGAGGTGGCTAGGTGAGATCTAGCAGAACTCAGTGCCTGAATCAAAGGCACGCCTAGTCAATCCTAGTCCGATCCACATCTGATCTGAAGCCATGTGGTGTTGGTGCTGACTGCGTGTGGCACTCGCTGCTGACGCATCAGCCTAACGGTCCTCGTTCACGGCAGGATAGCCTCTTTACCGAGGCCATTGAGGAATACCTACGTGATTTCCAAGCGCGTGTGTGCACAGTCGCATACGTGCGACATGCGGGTTTCCATGGATGGCCAGGTACCGTTTGACCTTGGCAAGCTCATGTGACAGAGATTGTGGAGCATATGTTGTGTGTAGACAGGACAAGGAACAAGGTGTCATCATTTGATAGGCCGATGCCCCCAGTCCGAATTGGAAACTGTCTACAGGAAAGAACAAAAGCCCACAGGAAAGGAAGATATCTACATAGCTGACCAATTTCTATGTCCACCGACTGCCTGGGCTGCTCATGCGATCTACTGGCACAAGCTTGTGCCGACGAAGCGCATGTTACCCTGTTAGGAGAGAAATTGGTAGGCTACGCCAAGAAATCCGCAGGAAGAGTGGCCACGCTGCCCATTCTCTCCACAGAGGGGAGGCGAGGTACATTGCACTGGAACTTTGTGGTGCAAGCCATGAGAGTGGATTGGGGCAACGTACAAAGGATGAAAAGAAGACAAGGCGGTCAGAATGCAGATGTGGCTTTGCGGAAGGATATTTTATGCAAAGCATCAAGATGTTCAGAGGCAGCAAAGTACACCGAGTGTACAGTGTCGGATGCTGTGGTTTTTGCCCATACCCATAGATGGTTTTGAATCCACGGCGACCATGATATGGGTCAGCCGAGTGGCCACTGCCTGTGTGTCAAGGACATGTTGCGTCATTAAGCGGGTTCCCGGACTGTGGTCTTGGAAGCATGTCTACTTGTGAACGCGTCGGGCTTGCACATCTTTTGTCTGCAGCGCATTTTTGTGACCTGCAAGGGGCCCATCTGTTTGAAGTCTGGATCCTACAACAGGTCGCCTTACCACGGAAGGACTTGGAAGGAGGGGTTGAATTGACCACTAATAACTTTCACGATGCCAGTTATACAGCATAGGCGACAGAGTGTCCTGATTACCGTGGTCTAGCATGGAATTCGTGAATTCGTGATGCTAGGAGCTGCACTCGCGAGAGATCTGTGCGCTACGTGAAGTGAAACCCACCTCCCTAACTCTGCAGGGGTCTTGTCCCCAGCACAGGCGATTCATCCCTAGCAGTTGTTCTTGAGCTGATCGATGAAATCGATCTGCTTTCTTCTGTCCCATGCCTATTAGCCTAAAAGATATGTGCGATGAACCTGCGGGGGCAGAGTGGGTGTGTTGGTCTTCGAACCGTTGGTCGATGTTCAAGTATTTTGACTTTTGGTGCAGGCGCTCGACAAGGTAAATCTTCAAATAAGCCAGCTTTCTTACGCCCGTTGAAATCTCCCTGGTTGTTTTTCCCATCCATGCCTTTCAGTAGAGTTCTCCGTTGCTCGCGGAGGGCGCTTGTGGATCTTGCTGGGCAGTGACCAGTGCCACAGTGCTCACGGCGCACGCCGAGATCTTCGCTGCGCCGCAGAGGAGCTTCTCGGTTCAGGACAGGGCCATGGTGACTGCTGACAGTGGTGGCCGTGTGGGCAATGCCGCCGGCAATATGATTCTTTTCATAAATTTTTAGATCATAAATCATATTGTATATAAACGTTAAAATCAAGTGTTCTTCGCAAGGCTACAGTTTCTTGTGTGGTGTGAAGTTAACTTGTGGTAGGCAGTTGTTTCGAACTTTCCGGATCACCCAACATGTAGCCTCGCTTCATCAACCCAAATCTTTTGTTCATTCCAAGTCCATCAAACTGTTTCAACCACTTCATGCATTTCATGAGCCATCAGAAGTGCTACATGGCGCACTTGGGGAAGACTTGCAGGAGCTAGTGGATTGTGTGCCCAATCCCAAGTCTTGTGGCGGCACCGGAGGTTGCTCTGGCGCCACGGTGGAGTTGGCCATGAGCTATGCGACTTGGCAAGTGGACTTGGGGTTGAGTTTTCCGAGCCCTAGTGAGCCAAGAGTGATGGCCATGGCCTTTTCCACAGCCTTGGCCTCCAACCTAATAGCGATGGCCTCCATCCGTTTTCCGAAACCATTGACTGGACCGTGGAAGGGATCATAGTGAGCATCCACACTGGACCGTTTTTTTGGTCCAAGGATTTGAGGCCGCTTTTCCACACCTGTGTGTCAACTAAGGCGATGCATTTGGGATTGAAGGAGGAAGTTGAGAGCCCATATCGAAGGAGGACCGGACATTGTCATCGTCTTCCTGGTCCCTCTCTCTTAGAGATGCTCCAGCTGCAAAAATCTCAAGCCCTCCTCAATTTAACATGACTTGACTTCTCCCTTCCGACCTGTATTACCTTCCCTTAGGTTCCCCTTACGTTCCTTATTGTAAGATGTGATGAACCTCTGGTGAGGGGTGGAGCTGGTGAATAGCCGAAGTTTGCACAAATTCTTCATTGCGTTCAAACCTTTGAGCTGAGGGCCACGGGCGACAGTCAACCGGCGCACTCTGTCCTTCAGAAGGACAGGTGGCGAAAACGGGTTCACAAGGTGACAAGGAGAAAAGGTCTAAAGAAAGTAAAGAACACAAAGAAAATGTCTCAAGGTCTAGAGAAAGAAGAGAAAAGAATGGAGAAGGCAAGACAGGAAAAAGGAGGTCTTAAGATCTAAAGAAAGGAAAAGGAAAAGAAAAAGAAACGGAAAGAAAAGGAAAGCACTTCGAAACTCTTTGACTCTGTCCCGGTAGCTGCAAATGGTAAGCCAAGCTGCCAAGGTCTCTAGGCTCGCCTTGTCCACTGGATGCCACTATTACCCTTGTCCATCTTATAAGACTTCTTGACGTTTTTCCATTTCTTTATTGTATTTTATATTTGTATTTTTCTTACACATTTTTTTTGTAATTAGGGTTGGTATTGAGGATTATAGGCCAAAGGCTAGGTAGAGAGTGCTACTACTACCTAGTAGCTTCTTATGCTTGGACGCAGAGGGCCTCAGGCTTCTTCAACGAAGATCCGCCTGAGGGTTGGGGGAGCTTGTTTGAAGCCTGAGCCTTTATGATTTGCCACGCTTCTAGTAACAAGTGCCTTACTAGTAGTAACAAGAAGCTACTAGGAACAAGTGCCTTACTAGTAGTAACAAGGACTCTAGTAGTAACAAGTGCCGCGCTTCTAGTAACAAGTGCCTAGGGAAACTATAGCGTCCTTGTTCCTAGCGATGCCCGTTGCTCCTAGTAGCTTCTTGCTCCTAGTAGCGATGCCAGGAGCCCCTAGTAGCTTCTTGCTACAAGAAGTTTTTGAGAAGCTTGACTAGTAGCTTCTTGTTACTACAGGTGAAGCAATTCTCAAGGAAGCTTCTAGCTACTAGTAGCTTCTTGTTACTAGTAGCGGTGGCCTCCAACCTACTTGCGATGGCCTCCACCTACTAGCGTCCTAATTCCCTAGCCTTCTTCCATTTTATTCCCTTGTTGCACGATGCTGCACTACTTGTTTTCGTCTTCATGCTTTGGGAAGATGAGCATTGTGGATCGATGTAGCGCCCTCGGTGAGCAGCCCATATGACATGTGGAGCTTGTTTTTCCGCAGGAAGACCTAGACGAAGCCGTGGACGAAGCCGATCAAGCTGCAGCGCAAATCTATGAGGATTTTGCAGCGCTGAGATTCTTGCACGAGTCACCCAGCTGCAAAGCTAAGTCACAGCCGTTCATCATTTCAAACATTGAATCCCTAGGAGCAAGGACGCTACTAGGTGCTCCTGGCCTTACTACTAGGAGCAAGGACGCTACTAGGTGCTCCTGGCATCGCTTCTAGGAGCAAGGACGCTATTAGGTTGCTGGCCATCGCTAGCAGCTTGGAGACTGAGTAAGGCACCAAGATTTGTCGTCAGTGGGCGCACGTACTGCTGCTTCAGACTCCTTGGGCTTAGAGAGTGGTCTTAGAGGCTGGCAGCGGCTTCCGGTGAATCGCTTCCCAGCAGCAGATCAGGTTTCTTTGAGTTCCAGAAGGCCCAACGAGGCAAGTTTACAAAGTGCCTCAAGAAGACATGGGATTCTCTGAAGCTTCTTCAAATGTTCTTCAGGTCTATTTTCATGATTCAAAACATAGAAGACTTCTGAAGCCTCTTGTCTTGCGAGATGTGCTTCGAACGCCGCCAGTCTCACAACCAGGCTATGAGCCGCTGCTCCGTGCCGTCTACGAACGCGGCCCCGTCGGTGTGTCAGTGGCGGCCAGAAGTTGGTGCGCTGGGAATGGACGGAGAGGGGTGCCGCACTTCAGGTTCAAATGTTTTTCTTTTAATGTCAAGAACATAAACAACACGAAAACAACAGATACGATATCAAAAAAGCCACAACACAAATGACATACAAAACACTTCTTTATTGTCTCTCATCTCAGCTCTTTTTTGTTCTTCATTCGTTTTTCCTTTCAAGTGGAGAAACAAGCAGCGGTCGTGCTGCACATGCTTTTAATTTCAAGAAACCCTAGACTTCTTTTTTGAACAGGTTTTTCCTTTCCAGATACAATAGCATTCCACAAATTTGCTCTTCATCCTTAACCAGATCGACCGTGCACACGTTCTTCAACTGGCATGTCGGCCTGTGTGAGTTGTGCAACATGTACGATATGTACGGGTGTGGAAGGGAAGGATTCGAATTGTAAGGGCTCCGCCCTGGTGCCGCCGACCCCTTTTTTGTGAGACAAGGCAGCATGGCGAGGAAGGCAACAACCGAAGTTGGACATAGTGCTCCCCAGCTACTCTGCGTACTAAAGTTGTATTGCTAAGTCGCCACTTCTCATCTTCCAGCTCCACAGCTATATTCCGCGTACTAAAGTTGTACTACGCAGTCGCCAGTTCTCAGCTTCCAGCTCCACAGATTCCTCCGCGTACTAAAGTTGTACTACAAAGTCACCAGTTCTGAGCTTCCCGCTCCCCAGGTACTCCGCGTACTACAGTTGTACTACAAAGTCGCCAGTGCTCATCTCCCAGCTCCCCAGATACTCCACGCCCTCAAGTTGTACTACCCACGCGCCAGTTCTCATCTTCCCGCTCCCCAGCTACTCCGCGTACTAAAGTTATACTATACAGTCGCGAGTTCTCACCTACTACCCACTCATCAGTTCTCATCATCCCCCTCCCCAGCTACTCTGCGTACTAAAGTTGTATTGCTAAGTCGCCACTTCTCATCTTCCAGCTCCACAGCTATACTCCGCGGACTAAAGTTGTACTACGCAGTCGCCAGTTCTCAGCTTCCATCTCCACAGATTCCTCCGCGTACCAAAGTTGTACTACAAAGTCACCAGTTCTGAGCTTCCAGCTCCCCAGCTACTCCGCGTACTACAGTTGTACTACAAAGTCACCAGTGCTCATCTCCCAGCTCCCCAGATACTCCACACCTCTCGCCTGCATTTCGCCACTCGACGCGCACGGTCTCCGCAGAGGGTTGCGCAGGCATCCGCCAAATCGCACTCTCGCCTGTATTTCGCGCACTCGACATGCACGATCTCCGCAGAGGGTTGCGCGGACACCCGGCGAATCGCACTCTCGCCTGCATTTCGCGCACTCGACACGCACGATCTCCGCAGAGGGTTGCGCGGGCAGCCGGCCAATCGCACTCTCGCCTGCATTTCGCGCACTCGACACGCGCGATCTCCGCAGAGGGTTGCGTGCACAGCCGGCAAATTGCACTCTCGCCTGCATTTCGCGCACTCGACACGCCCGATCTCCGCAGAGGGTTGCGCGCACACCCGGCAAATCGCACTCTCGCCTGCATTTCGCGCACTCGACACGCACGATCTCCGCAGAGGGTTGCGCGCGCAGCCGGCGAATCGCACTCTCGCCTGCATTTCGCGCACTCGACACGCACGATCTCCGCAGAGGGTTGCGCGCACACCGGACAAATCGCACTCTCGCCTGCATTTCGCGCACTCGACACTGTAAAGAATGTCTCCAACGTCACGGGGCGATGATGCAGCCTTGGCAATGCATGGCCTGCTACATGTGGAAGCAAGAAGATGCATTTGTCGCCAAGTACCGGCGCCCGCAGTGCACGTTTTACCGCGTGTGCGAGACGTGCGAAGAGACGAAGGTGTGCGCACAGTGCGGCCGGCGCAAAGCGAAGGCCGGGTTTGCGCCGACGGCATGGCTGCGCACGCGAGGTGCATCCCGAGTATGCTTGGCTTGCACGAGCCAGGCCCATGGGCACGCAACGCGCCCGCGAGGCACGACGCAAAAGGCGAACGCATGTTTTACAGTGCGGGGCCCCGAGACCCAGTTCAGAAGCCAGGAAAGCCAACCGCCAAAGCTTCCACGGGGCACGGCGGCAAAAGCCGTGGCCCGCCTGGCCGCCACGCGTGCCAAAGTAGAGCAGCGCAAGCATGAACGCATCATCGCGGAAGTCTTAGCAGAAATCAAGCGTACAGAGCAGGCAAGGGAGGAACCGGTGAGGAAGCGTGGGAAACTGCCAGAGGGTCTCGATGGCCAAGGCAGCATGACTCTCGCTAGCCAAGGCGCCAAGACATGCCAGTACATATGCCCGCACTGTAAGGCGACCGTGGAGAGCACGATAGCCAATGGACAAGTGGATCACCGAGCAGTGTGCGGCAGCCAGTTCTACGTCAGTGACGGAAAAGCCCAAGCAAAGAAACAGCATGAGTACACATGCCCGCATTGCGGGGGCCTGGTCACAAGCAATGTTATGACAGGACAAGAAGAGAAGAGGCAGGCCTGCGAGCTGCCGAGAAGAGGAAGAGGGCAAGGCTGCGGTGCAGGAGTAGGCCAAAGGCGCTGGGGAGGGTTTGCAGCCGCGGGGGAGGGTTTGAAGGCGGTGCAAAATGCCTAACGTCGCTTTTGGAAGCCCATAGGAGCACGGGCTGCACGTTCCAGGGCTCTCTCCCCAGGCTCCCGCCTGACGCAAGCAAGGCT